AGAAAAATCAGGAGTGAAAAACTGTATATACAATCAGTGGCAGAAAAGCAACACAAAGACCCGTGCCCTTGAAGAAGTGGGGAGGGGAACTGATGTCGTTGACCAGGTCATTCAACATTAGTTCCCACCACCACATGCTGTGGAAGCTACAGAGCTAAGTGCTGTGTGTTAGCCAAGGCTGAACATTTCTGACGAGGTCTCCTTTCAAATTCTGCTAAAGAGTTGCACGGTGTTAAAAAAAATAGAGGGCTAATTGAGATGTGGTAAATATTCTGCAGTGGTTAGCCATGAATTACACTGTCTCCGCTCCGGTCAACAACGAAGCATTATTCAAACGCTTGTTCTCTCCGATTGTTTATTATCTCCACAGACTTCTCGTGCCATGTATAAATAAAACCAACGGAAAGATAAATGTGGTTTCAATGTCGACTTTTTGACCTGCTCTGACTGACCCCCAGCAGTGTGCAGAAGGAGATCAGGAGGAAGGAGAACCAGACCGAGCATGTGTAACGCCCTTGAACCATCTGTAGCCTTTATTTCTACAGACACTGATGAAGACGGTGTTCTTCTTTGAAATGTGAAGGTCAAGTCCAAGCTAGTGTCGAGAGAATAAATGTGACGCTTCACTGTCCGCTCAGCCTCTAACATAATAACAATTCATTTGAAGTTGACCTTGTCTTTCAGGTAAGCCTCTTTCCAAACACATTTGACACCAACATTAAAACACATTTGTTTTTGATGTTTAATTTTTGTCTGCAGATTCCTGGATGATGGAGGATGCTGTTCTCCTGCCAACATCAAAGACATTTGCCGTCCTGCCTCAGGTACAAATGTGGTACGCTGTGTCCCCTGAAGTAGCTGTAGTAAGCGGAGGAAGGAAAAGTTTCCCTTCCTTTTGACTGTGCAGACATGAAATTGCTCCATTCCTCCACTAAGCATCTTGTTTTTATAGACATCTGCTGGCACTTTGGCCGTAACGCTTTTACCATCTGCCCCTGCAGCCACGCTGCAGACCCTACAGAGCTGCTTTCTTGAAGATGAAGCAAAGTGACTTACTTTGAAAATCATGGCATGAAGGGTAGTTCTTAAATGCTAATCATTTTAATGATTGTAATGCAACACCTCAGTATGAGGAATTCAGGAAGTGAAAATATTAGCCAAAAACTGATGATCATCTCTCCCACATCCTCACTGCAGTGGATTTAACTGATAACACGACTCTGGCAATACTTCAAGGATGGTATCATGTAACCAAGATGGTCCTTCGGTTCTCTAACTGCTCTGTGGTGTGAGCATCTGATAGCAAGAGACAAACAAACTTAATTCCAAAGAAAATTGTTTCTAAATAGGCTTTCACCACTCCAGCGCTGTGATGTACAGTGTGCTCCAAAAACAATCTTTGGTAAAAGTGTTAAGTCCTGCCCTAGCACATATCACGAAGGTGACATCATGCCTGTTACTCTGGTTTCCTACCAAACCCTGAGCCTGCTTCACATCCAACTGTCAGACCCAGACACTGGGTTGAATGGAGGACATCTGGATTGGTTTAATTTTAAGGTGAAACATTTGCAAGTCATGAAAAGAACCTGTAAAAAAATATAGTATAATACTGAGAATGCAGCAAATTAACTAAGAAAACTAAACAAAGAAACCACTAGAACTATTAAGCATTTGAGCAGCACTCTGTACTCAAGGTTAAATTTAAAAAAAAAAGAAAACTTTTGAGTTGTTGAACAGTTTGTGATGCACCTGGAACAAATTGAAGAGGACTGCTTCATTGTGGCATTTTTTCAAACGTCTCTAACAATCAATTAATCTCAATGAAACTTACAATAATTGGAATTTTTAACGTGATTTAACTACATATGTGTTTTTCAACACACTGAAAAAAGATTGTTTTGACATTAACTACTAAAATGTGCTGTGTCATGGAAACAAATTTAAGAAATATAATTTGTAAAGATGTTGAAATTCTCATGTCAGGAACATAATATACTAACAGTCGCAAAGTTGATCTTAGTCTAAGTTTATCACTGAAGCCAAATCCCTTAGAATACAAAATAGAAATGATCTATTTATTTTGACATATTGTCATAGCACTGTCTTGCTCTTGGTTTGAAGTTCCATTCCTGGTGTTGACATCACTGGTGGTTTTCTGCCACTATTACCAAAATAATTTAATTCCTGAGATACCTGGGTTATGACAGATGACACAGACGGACAAAATTCTCCATCAGTAAATTTTATTAACATTTTTCAACCCCCTTCCCTTTAACAAAGTGACAAACTACTGACTGAAAATCACCATCTGCTATTTCAGGGACTGAAGCTAAAGCATAGGTCTGTAGCAGGTCATCAGCTCACACGTCTGTGTTAAAAAACAGTCATCTGTGTGAAATGCCTGGCATTTTACTTGTCACAAGGCTCTGAACACACTTCCTTTCCTGACATGAACAAACTCCAGTTCCAATAACCAGAACCCAAGAATTTGACAAAACCAGTCCGATTTACAAACAACAAAGAAGCTTGGTGCAGAAAAGATCAAGTGTCTTTGGTCTTGGAGGATATCGCAGAAAAGATCAAGTGTCTTTGGTCTTTTGGTCATATTTGATGAGTGAAAACGCTGACGTGTGAAAAGCAGACCTTTAAAACAAAATATATAAAAATGCAGAATTTACTGTAGACAGCAATATGTGGAAGGCTTCACATGTGGCCTGAGCAGCGGCTGTAACTAAGACAACACTCATATCTAAGTCATTCAACAACACACTGGTCAGTTGTTTGCTAAAACCTGCACGCTGAGTCAGCAGCTGGTTGTTGTGAAAGAAACCAAACCCTGAAATTCACAAACCTAAGGCAAATATTTTACCACAATAACTTTATTTTTTTTTGTTTTTCAATCCACATCCAACACTGTCCACAGCTCAACTACATACAGCATATAAACACTTTTGTGTTCACATGGAAACTTTGACCAAATTTTAGCTTCATTTTACTTTGCGGGTTAATTTAATTGTTCTCTCATTATACAAGCGTAGGAGTGGTTCGATTATTTCACAGATGTGGATAGCTACTTATTCTGAGCTCTCTTTAATGAGGGGATTGTTTAGAAAAAAGATGGGAAAGCGTCAAGAAAGGTAGCCTGGAAGTTGAGCTCCCCATACAGAAAAAAAAAGTTTGTTTTCTTATTATGTTAAAGAATAAATATTTTACCCAATCAGCAATAGCATTTTATGCTAATGTTTCTTTATCTACCAAGTCAGACAAAATATTTGTATACATAGTGTTGTTCAAAAATCAGATAACTGCACTTTGATTCATTGAGCTAACAAATGCTAATGAGCTACTTCTGCTAGTTACATAGTGAGTGATGCTAGTTCGCAATAACTCTTGTTAGCAAGCAAAAATGCTAACAAAACTTATTTGTGTGTGTGCTGTTGTTTGTTTGTTTTTTCACATGTGAATTATTTGTGTGTGTGCTGTTGTTTGTTTTTTACACATGTGAAATGCAGACGATTTTTTCTTTTCAGGTTATTGTTGTAATTGAAGGAAGACAAAAACTCTTGATAAATAAATGCTAGCATGTGTTGCTTTGGCCCCATCCCAGTGGAGGTTTCTAGACCATTGCTGTTTAATGGTTTTTCAGGGAAAGGAATCCCAAATTAATGTCAAGATGGAGAAGGGATGCTCTGCTCCCTGTATAAAATGTGGCTATGAGTGTATTGGTCTTTGGTTCACAGAGCCTGTCTGTGTTGCTCAGTGTTTTCATGACTAAAAGATAATGTCTTCTGCTTTAAAAGAAGATTCCTAATCAACCAAAACATTTATGACCCCCCTGCTGTCCTTACCTCTGCCTTAAAGGCAACTATCAAACACTTTTACAGTGCACTAATGCCAGTGAAAACTGATTGACTTTAATAATAATTCAGTCATGTTAACATGTTTGGCTAAAATGTCTCGTCTTAGTCAGAGTAACATAACTAACTGGTTTGAATGCATGTAAACACAAAAATGTATTCTAAAGCCACTGGTTCCTGAAATGCATCACAGCACTGGACTTTAATTCTATGATTTTTTTGTGATTTTTTTTCAATCTAATATAACAATGAAACCACGTTTTCTCACGCAACCACTTTATTTGCTAAAAAACATCTGACTTTATCTTACAATAGATGACTAAACAGACGCTGTTACTTTACGGAATAGGAGTGTTTTGTTTTTATCCATGGTAACATGAATCAACTGCTTAACTACTGACCTATTTCATTTGCTTGCTTTTATATAAACATAAAACGCACTCACTATAACCCACCAGTACATTAAAAAATGTGCAAACTCACTAAACATGGTTTAATCCAACAATAAATCCCACTAAACACAGGCCAACAGCATCAAAAGAGAGATGGTCTGTTTAAAAAAAATAATCAAAATGCCTCAGACCCCAAAAGGCACTTCATTTGTGAATAAAAGAAAGCACATGAGATTGAATTAGGGTTCTTGACGTTGCTGTTGTTTTCAATAGGCCGCCATGGCTCTTTTTAAAGACAAAAAAGCAAAAGCAGTAATCACCTGAGCAAGTCGAGCCCACGACTGTGCAGTTTTTTGAACTAACAGAATATTAAAAGGCTGAATAAAAACATCTGGAATGTTAACATTGACGCTGTGATATTATTTTTATATATTTGAAACAGCTTGAATCAGTCCCTGTAGAGACCAAAAAGTGCATAATGTTAAGGAGAGGGCGGGGTTAAAACGAAACCCGTTTCATGGCTTTTACGTGATACAATATAATCAGGTGCAGATCCACTATGAATTTAAAACTCATAATTATAATATTAAATTACGTTAAGCAAACAATATGTCGTCATACTGCTTACTTAGTGTGTATCCAGAAAACAAAAACATAGTACAGTAGGTCATTTACGAAGTATTGTAAATCCATCCAAGTGTGAGGGGCTGTTCACATGTAGCATCAGAAAACAAAGACATGACAAGACGTGGATTTAGAGATGGTTTGTTTGTTTGTTTGTTTGTTTTGTTTTGTTTTAGAGCAGGCACTTGGATATTGAGCAGATAATTCAAAGTTCAGAGTGAAAACACGACCTACATCTTTGAAAAGTTGGCCTGAGAATCAAGAGAGAATCTTTTAAACCATCACAGAAGTTGCTACATGTGAACAGCCACCTAGACTGTTTTTTCTTCTACATCAACAACAAAGCAACTCATCTGCAAGTCATTTCCATCAAGGCCATCTCTGTCTGCAGTAGATGCTCCTGTAAAAGAGCTGAGACATTTTCAGAGATTGTAGTTTTGAGCGTCCTGTGTCTTCAGAGGCACTCGTACATGCGCAGGGTGCGCTCCAGTTGCTGAACAACACGTTGGTAGAAGGCTATCTGCTCCCTGAGGTAGGCCTGCATCATATCTTTGAAGTCCACCTCTCGCCGCTGATGAAAGTGGCTCATCTCTGCTTGGAGGGCAAACCCCACCGTCCGACAGCGTTTCCTAATGCCGTCTGCCTCGTCCTGGTCCATCTTCCCCTCGTCACACATCCGCTGACTCTCTTTCACCTTGGCAAAGGCACCTGGGTTCAAGAAAAGGATGCATACATTAAAAAATACGGGAAAAGAATACAAAGCGAAACATTGTGGTACATTACTTAAAAACAAAATTAGAAGCTAAACTAGCATGAGTTAGCTAAATGGGCTAAGTGAGTATGCTGTGATATGTGGTTGTTCAGGTCATTTTAGTTTTACTTGATTTCTTTCGAGATACCAATCTCTTGTTCTGACTCCACCTCAATACCATATCTAAATTCTTCTGGTTCAGAGCCCTGAAGACAGTTTGTTTTCATGTATTCTGCTCCAGGACACAAAAAGCAGCAATTTCTAACATTATTTATGCTGCTTGGAACCATGAAGAACTATATTTGCACCATAAGAACAACATTGGGGGGGGGGGGGGGGGGGGGCTCAATCAGTTCAAAGAAGAGCTGCTGAAGGCAAAGTGCTACAGTATCAGTACAGTAAATGAATCCATTGTACTGATTGTAGCTCTACAGTAAAAAACCAGACTTCCCTCCCAAATAACAACGACAGTAAAAGTCAACACTTTATATCTACACCAGGACCACAAAAAAAGTGTTTAGTTTCACTCGCATACCAAACGTCTCATGAGATGAGGACAAGCTATAACCGCATTTACCCAGACTGCCATGACCTCACTTTCCATATGCACCACATGGCAACTGAACGGTATGTTACCACACCACATTTCCCGGCAGATTAGTGAGTCTGACTCAATCTCATACAACCTGAGCTCGAAACCAGAAAGTACACCGTTTTCACCCAGACACTGAGTAGACTATCAGGTTTCCAGGATCTGTTGAAACAAGCTCCAGCTCTGTCTTTGAAATGCTCTGCTGCACTGTACAGGTCTTATCCCTGTGCTCTATCTGTTAGTTCATGCCGCAGCAGATTTTCCTTGGAATTACTTCCTTGGAATTATTAAGTTCGGAAAAGCATTTGGGAAAAGGTCAAGTGAGCGGCATGTGGACTGAAGGGCCTGTAGTGCTGACCTAGATTCATGTGCTCTGTTTTCCATATGAGAGGAGAATGATAGTATGTCTGTGGAACATAAAGAAAAAAGACTGGTTATGTACATGTGTGGGTGGGAGACAGTGGGGTAAAGGAGTTCATCTTAAGGATCAATATCACAAAGGAAGCTTGAAGCTTTGAGGAAATTTTTTTTCTTTTTTTTAATATTGTAACTTTCGATTTCGCTGGCACAAAAGCTTGACACTCGTGCCAGAATCTGCTTTCTAACGTGCCACAAAAATACCTAACACATGCTGAGAAAATACAAAAAAGCTGTGATACATTCCTCCTCTCCGTGTACCCAAACCCTTCATTCTACCCACTTTTTCCAGATTCTGTGGTAAGCGTACAGTCAGATACACAACAGGAAGTAGTCTGGAAAGCCAGCAGATAAGTTTATCTGGTCTACCCAGACCTGCTCTCACACGCTTTATGGTTCAAACATGAAAGGTTCATGTGGCTGTGGCGGGCAGATAGAACCATGAAGAGAGAAAGGTAGTGGATGATGGTAGAAGAAAGGAGGATGAAAAACTTTTCTTCTACCAAAATCAGCTATAGTTGTTGTTTTTGTAAAGATTTGATTGGATCTACTCTAACAAAGCCCCGGTGGTCGAGAGGACATGTCCAAATATATTTGTCTACAAGGGAAAATAGATTATCACAGCACTGAGACAGTTCATTTGAAAGACGGCACACTGTCTCACAGTAAATCAATCTCACAGTTTGACTCTCTACCTAACCATCCACTCCCTTGAAAAGCCAGATGTGCCTTTTCACACTGGTAGACTACAGAAGGGAAGAAAGACTTTTTATGACATTTCCAGCTGCTATAATAAAATTCAGATTTTACAGTGCCTTTACAACGCTTTTACTATGTTGTCCATAATATGTACTGAGGCTTTTGTTTCTGTGGCCCCCAGTTTTCAAATTAAATTCACATTCATTCATCATCTTTTGCAGTTAAACAGAAGGCTCTTCCACTGTCTTTGTTTCCAGTAGATGTTTTCACCTTTCATCCAGGAGCTTTCTTCTGTTCTTCAGATTGTTCTTCAGGCTTCTTTAGAACTGAAGAAGCTTCCTCGATGAGAGATGAAACGTCTTCTACAAACCCGCAGAGCTTTAAAGCTAAATCTGTAAATGTTTAAGCGTGACAGGGCTTAACAATACTGTCTACAAAAGCACGGTACTGCAGACAATGTTAGGACACACTGCTGTGAGTCACACTGTAGGGCATTCAGCTCATAAAAAAGGCCAACACATTCAGTGTAAAGCATGGAGCAAGTACAATTAAGACATCTTTTCAATTCTATTGGCCTAGTGGGCTCCGCCAATCACAAATGACATCATCAAAATGGAAGTCGACACTTTCAATAGGCTGTCAGTCAATCGTGAGATATAGAAATAATTCTAATTCTAAGTCAAACATCCAATGAACCATAATTAAACAAGCTGATTATTTCAGAATGAGATAATGTGGCCTATAATTGTTATGTTAACCGTTTTATATATATATATTGTTTTAAACCGTCACGTCTGCCATCTTCTCAGCTGCATCTTTATAGAGTTAATACTATTATGAGAAGTAGGAGTCTTGGTAATAGTAGTAGTTGGAATGATAGTGGTGTATCATCGTTACAGTGTTGAGTTACTGCGTACGTTTAGGTATTCGTGTTAATGAAAGTTCCCCTTAAACCGAGACATTGTTACTTTTCACAGCACTTCCCTTCTTATGTGAGCATTAACAGACAACAGGCTCCAGATAATCATGTTTATTTTGTATCACACTTGTGCTTGGGTTCCGTCTCTTAAGTTTACCCCAGTGTGTGTGACATATCTGCTGATCTGCTGTCACGTCTCTGTAATTAATTACAAAGTGTAACACAGTTTGACAAGTGGAATGCTCATCTAAACTGTTTAAAAACTGTAATGACAGTCCCAGAAAGCTACAGTACATACAGTGTCAGGTCTTCATTTGTCTTGGTAGCAGAGGAGTTAAAGCAAACTCCAGGATGTTAGCCGGCAAAGACATTCATAAACTGCTACTTGTTAAATAAATAAAAACTTTAATACAGAAATAATTGTTTCCTCTTAGCTTGAAATAGTCTTGTGTTAATTAAAAGACAATAAACTAGCTGTAAGCTGTAATTGCATATTTATTGAAACCCAACCTAGTAAAGTATTGGTTTCGTACAACCCTACTGCAAATGCATCTTCCTTGGAGTCTGGATCATGAATGTAATGGAGAATGTAGGAAAAATATATTTCCCACTGAGCTGTAGTTGATGTGTGATTTTGTGTGAGCTTTGCCATGGACAACGACACTGTCCCCTTAGCATGTAGGAGGCGATAGAGAGAGGAGCTGACGTCTGTGTCAAGCACTACTGTGAACTAATGGGAGTCTTTGTTTATCAGTGTTGCTCTCTCAAATCTAAAGGAAGTTTGGTTTGTTTACATATCTCAGCCCAATGTGTACTTCTCATCAGTAATTACTACCTATTTAACACAGTAGTGACACTTTTTACAATATAAAATATTCTTAAGTATTTAATCCGCTAGCTACCAGTACTATGTGCCCTAATGGATGCTATGACTGAGGGAGGTAAATTATTTTTAATTTTTTAATTAACTCTCTGTTTAATAGTGTATGAATCTGCCCTTTTAAAGAACAGACAACCAAATATCAAGTATATGTACATGTATATGTTAGGGTCAGCTCAATCCGATACTCAGGATCAGAATCGGTCCAATATTGGTCAAAATTTCAGGATCAAATATTGAAAAAACAGCTATAGCTCGTCCGATACCTCAGCCCAAATGCTCAACTTAACTTTGCTGTAAATGACACTATCCCCTCAGCAACAGCAGCCTGTGGCATGCTGGAGGAGGAAAGTATCGGTATTGGCAGATACTCCCAGTTGCAGTATCGGTTTCGGACATTAAAAGGTTCCCTGGTATAAGACTCTTGTTATTGTCCTTAAAGGGTAGAACAACAGTTTTAAACTTATTTCTCCTCTGATACTGACTTGAGTGCTGGTGGTATTTTTTATTGAAAACCATTAAAAAAAATGTGTTGCAAATGCTTTAATTTACTGTGTAAAGACTGGAGTATTGTACTAAGGAAAGAATTAGACAGAATAGTAAAAACAGAAAAAGAGCAGAAAGAGTAGAAAATATATGGCGGGCTCAGGATCACATGACAAGCACCAAGAGGATGTTTCAGCATCCTCAAGCGTGCCTAAAAAGCTTTAATGATACACAAACCAAAAAAAGCCCCTGTGCTGAGTAAGCAGAGTCATCAAGTTTACAGCAGCCACTCACAGACAGGGCTACAGTGCGTGTCCTGACCTGGAATGTGCTTGCAAAACAATTTGAGCCATTTGTCTATTTATCTTGGGGTCTAACTTTTTCTCTTATTTCAGTTACTTTAGGGATGAGCAATGTTCAAAACAAAGCCACCCACTCAGTCTCCAGAGGGATTGCAGGAATTACCAGAAACCTTAAATCAGTCCACTTCCTCATTAAGCAGCATCCTTGACTGTACTGCTCCCCTCTGTTTATGACAATGAATCCAACATGTATACTCTCAGAAATGACACATGAAGATTTTGACGGCCCCCAAAGTGCAAATTAAAGTTCTTAACTGAAGCCGTTTGACAGATGTTCATGTGTATGTAAACACTGCACTGTCGATTTTCATGTTGTAAATCTACACTTTTTTCAGACATTACTTCAGCTTGTTTATATGAACGTGAAATATGATGAACTGTACTTGTAGCTGAGTTGGATTCTCCATTCTCTTTATTCGGCTGCATTTGTTTTGACCTTTCAAAAAAATGATGAAAATTGGTTTTGAATAAAAGGTGGATTGAAAAGGAAAATTCCTCTTGAAATATCCATCTTGTTTTGGGTTTTGAAATGTAAAGAACTTTTTTTAATCCCATGATGGCTTAATGGCTTGAAATATCTTATCCCGTTTTCTGCCCATATT